CCGAGAAAGGCAGCGGCAGAAACTCAGTGCAAAGGTCCAGGTTAACAGAGAGGAGGAAGAGGTCCCGGCGCAAGCTGTTACAAAACAAGCTCTGTATAGACAGTTATATTCCTGTTGCATAAAAGAGTTTTTTTTTTCCTGAAACAAGATATAAAAAGCTGTTAAAACTATTTTCAAGCTACTTTTTGTACTGGTAAGTTCCACCCCCATTGAAGATTTTTGTCTTTCACTTTTTTTTTTTTAATGTAGTAGGTTGAAGTCTTATTGCCGCAAGCTGTTACAAAACAAGCTCTGTATAGACAGTTATATTCCTGTTGCATAAAAGAGTTTTTTTTTTCCTGAAACAAGATATAAAAAGCTGTTAAAACTATTTTCAAGCTACTTTTTGTACTGGTAAGTTCCACCCCCATTGAAGATTTTTGTCTTTCACTTTTTTTTTTTTAATGTAGTAGGTTGAAGTCTTATTGCAACAATCGCTTTTTTATTAAAAATAGTGCAAAGAGGTGCAACCTTGCTGCTGTTGCTCTAGCTGTGATGAGAGGTGAAGGCCAGAGCCCACAGACAAAATAAAACCCACAATCATAAAAAGCTGCAGCCAGTGACTATTTTGAAAAGGAAGAAAGGCACAAAATGAGTTAAGCTATGAAGAAGATTGAATCAGAAGTCGGGACAAGTGCTAACAATAATACAGTACTATACATTTTTTTTTCAGAGTCCAGACAACTGTTAAAACTACAAATCATTTTAAAATGATTTTAGTTTATTTGTATTTTGTGCTGTAAGACACTGTGCTTTAATAGCAAACTGCAAAAAAGGCAGTACATATTGCTTTCATTTTATTTCACAATGGAACGTTTCACAAAAACAGTAGTCTACTTTCCTGTGTTTAAGTGACTTGTGATTCTAATGATGGAATGGAGTAAGTCTCAAAAGCATCAAGTGAGCAGGAAATATATCTAGTTAGTTCTATAGTTCATTATTTACAGGCTACATACTAAATGAAAAATACGCAGAAGATGCCTAATAAAACTGAGATTTAGGATTTGTTAGCGCCCATTAGTATCAACCCAGTTTCTAACATTCAAGATATTCTTGGCTTTTTGATTGTAACAATTCCTACAAAATTGGACCGTGAGTATTTTAGGCACCAGGAGATTCAAGTTTACTTCTCTCTTCTGTATTGAAGGGAGATTGGTCAGTAGCAGGGGAAGGAAAAACAAATTATGAAACAGGTTTTTAGTGTGGGGAATATTGAAGGCTTTCCCTGTATTGTGTCTTCATTCATAGTTGCATATTTTACTTTAAAATTTCACTCTAGACACAGACAGTGGTGATAGTCTGTCTTGCTTCAAGATCCAGTAGTAAAGAAAAGCGTGCAACTTTATAGCTTTGTATAGTTCAAAATCTAATGTTCCTTAGAATTAAGTATTTTTAGTGGAATTTATTCTTACTGGCAGTGAGAAACAGTGTTGCTGTGAACTGTTAAAAAAACAGTGACCAAGTTCCTCTCTCAAAGCTCTGTCAATGCAACTCCTTCCTGGCCTGCAATTCATCCAGCAGTTGTGCTTCTCGACTAGAGGCCATCCTTTACCTGGAGGCACAGGCAAGTAATTTAGGTGCAAATGCCACTGTGGATTTAGTGTTTGAATCTGTTCCACATTTGATCACTGCAGTATTTAAAAGTTGTAGAAATTAAAACATTTCAAAACACTGAGAAGCTGGGCACGTTTCCCACAGCGCCGCATTCAGCCAGTTTCACTCATCTTTTGGAGATCATGGGTAGAAGATGGGGTAGAAAGAATTTATGTAAGTTGCACAAACCGTGAAGATCAGTATAAGTGATGTTACGTGTAAATAGCACATATCAGGAAAAGACTTCCAGTAGGACCTGCAAGTTGTCAAATACAAGAACATTTCCCCTTTTTAGGGAGCTGAAAGTTAACATGTACACGTATTTAGATACCGCAAATGAGGTAAAAGAGAAGCATTTGAATTATAAGGCACCATTATTTACAACTTCCATTATTGGCACTCACTCCAGAGAAGCATGAATCTGAGATTAAATGCAACACTAAGGAATTTTTCCAGCCCTTCAACCTTCATTTCTACAGGTGTGTCCGAAGCAAACAAAATTTTACCCATCGCTGCTTCTGTGATGTCTAGTTAGTAGTGGGAATGTAACCCTAAAAATATGTAATTTCTCTGATGTTTTCCAGCATTACGCCATGGATGAAACACAGGTAACAAAAATTAAAAGCAAAAACGCACTATATCCACAGGCCTAATGATTACGTAATGGTTTAACCAACCAGCATGGTCAAACTGTTCATCTCACTTTCGTGGATGGTTTAAAAACCCATTCCTTCACCCACAACTCACAAACGTTTCCAATGATGCTTCAATAACATCGCATAAGCATAAACCAGGCTTTCTAGAAATCCTCCAAGTTCGGCTACGTGAACGTTGGTCCAACATATCTGCTGAAATGCAGAATCTTAGTTTAAGATGTACATGTTATATTCAAGTAAGAAGACGCACAAAGCACAAGTGAATGCAACAGTTCTGGTCTTACTCAGGTGTAGAAAAGAGTTCACAGATAGGGTACAGCAGTTAGTCGATACCAGTTAACAGTCTCCTTGCTCAAGTTGAAGTCCTTTAGTGAGAGTGTAATTCCACCCAAGAAAAAGTTCTCACGTAACGATTCTGCACTGAGCACACTTAGCTGAAGTTCTCTCTGTTTCAGAGTCTCCATGCTATATCCACTGTACACAAGCTAGAAAGTAAGAAGTCAAGAATTTTTTGGTTATTCAAATGAAGTTACACAGATTGCCCTTTCCACTGACTGCCTAGCAACTGATGGATGTCTTAACCGCACATTATGACCGTTCAGTATGTCTGTTTCTCAGAGGATGGGCTGACGTACATCTGTATTTTATTTTGTGCTTCCAATGTTAAGTGTTTAAAAAGGACCAGTGTTTTTACATCAAAGTACTGTTTACATGCTAAGACTTCCGAATTAATTCTTCTCCACATTATGAACCATCGAATCGAGAGCAGGAGGATCTTTAGTTTTAAAATGCCTCTCCTCCTCATCACTTCTCAGAGTCAGTCTGAGAAATTTCTGCTTACTTGTAATAGTACATTTACCTACTCAAGTTGTTTCGGGTATTTTGGTTTTAGTTTGAGTGTTGGGGTTTTTTTGGTAAAACAGGGCACTAAGTTTTTCAAACAAGTTCTTTTTCCATTTATATATCTTTGCAGATTTTTTTTTAGACAATATTTTAATTACCACTTAGAAAAAGAGGCAATAGCAAACCATAGGGAGTTACTACGTAAATTTTAACTTGCCATTTCATTGAAAGTTGGATTTCTTGTCTTCCGGGAGATTTTGGTTTTGCGTTTGGATGTTTTGTGCATATCTGGAAGTAAGTATGTTTTTACATAGGGATTTGGATCTGCACCATCCTCTGTAACCTACAATCCAAAATCAAGACAAGTTAGAAAACTAGTTAGTGAACACTTCTTCAAATATTTATTTTCAAGTATCTACACTTTGCACAAAAGCAGCAGTTCAGTTGGCAGCTGGAAAAATTGCAGGAAGAGAGATAGTTCCACCAGTCCTACACCAGCCTAAGACAAGGAGGTAATTGACAAAATGGTTACAGTTTTCGGCAGTGAGCTCAGTATCTCTACTTACCAGGTCTTTAATGTGCATCACCATGATAAATAGAGTGCTATTTCTATATGATATGGATAGCTTCACTTCTCCTCCCACTTTGCCTGAGGTAGGACTTGATGGACTTGCATCTGAAAAAATACACAATTATTTCCTCTGTAATATCTGTACATTTTCATCAGTACTACACTAATTATATATGGGGGAAAAACGCAAGCCTTAGACCAAGTTTAGTTTCTGATTTATTTCTAGTTCTCTAAGAGGGCAAAGATGTAAGTTTTAAATATTTTTGCATTCTCCTGGAAGAACCTACTTGGAGATTCAGAGTAAAAACTTGAATAATTTACTCAAGCCATAAGCAAGCCCAAGTGATCACATATATTGTTACAATTTTTGGTATGCTTTTATTTCCTTGAAACTGTATACAGGCACCTTTGGCAAGACAGTGATCCCAAGTTTTAAATGAGGGAAAACTATAGTTAATTAAAAAAGATTTAAAAAATAATAAATCACATTGTAAAGGTGCCATACTGTAGCCATCCAATTTATAAACACCCCCCAGAAACATTACCTACCTGTAGGTCTGGCTATTCCGTCTATTCCTTCCACTTTGTCATCACGAAGTAATGGATGGAAAAAAGTATAAACAAGATCACACTAAATTTGGAAGAAACATTACATATAAGTTCAAGTGTTAACAAGAACCAAAATCTGAAAACTTGCATTGGATTTGCTTAAGTTACTTGAACTCACTTCTGCCACCTCTGAAGAGCTGTTCATCAGACTCTGTATGTAGCTGTTGAGCTCCACTTTTCTTTTAGCTGCTACATCTTTTATATGTGTTCTTCCCAGAACCATCTTATTAGGAAAGCTAGAAGGGAAGAACAAGATGCTGTTTTCAGTTAATTTCTCTGAAGTAAGTGCAGTTAGATTTCATTGTCATTTCCACCCTGAAGTGCTGACATCCATTTTTTATGTCAATCATGAGTGGAAACACAGCACACTAAAAGGTAATGACATTACAGAAAGGCAAGGAAACATTTACAGGTAATTGTTGTGATACAACACAGAGACTAAAGACACTGAGTTGCTCCTCTAGCTCTCCTCCTTAGAACTTCGAGACAACAGTTTTCTCCCTTAATTGCCAACTTTGAAGTCTAGTTTGCCCCTTAGCAGTTTTGTCTTCATTTCAAGCCATTTCTTCCTCCACCCAGCTGGGAGCAGTTTTGTTGCTTCAATTATAACAGGGATGAGTGAGTTAGGAACATACCCTGGTAACTTCCATAGAGGAAAGAGAATGCCAAGTTTGTTGTGGAGCTCCTGGAACTCATCAAATGTTCGGAAAACAAATGTTGGCTCAACTTGCCCTTCTCTCAAAACTCTCACTACATAGATCTGCCCAAAACACAAAAAAAGCAAAGATAATAGTAACAATATTATAGAACTGACTTAACAGTATAATTTTCTTAACAATTAAGTGTTTCTACTATGGTAATCCTTCTCCTGCATACATATCCCAGTAACAGCATTTGCATTTTATAGTAGTTAGAATTATAAATAGCCCATGATCTTCCTATAACGTAGATCCACATCTGACAACGGGATAAAAGAAGTTGAGGCTAAGCTGTCCACATTCTCCCTTTTAAGCCTCACTGTAAGTTCATATCATGTATTGCAGATATACAAAATTTTAACACATCAGTGCAGGATTACATCTAGACATGTATCTGTAGGGCCATAACTACCACAAAACTTTTCAGGTGCAGATTATGGAGGAAACCAATGCCTAATTTTTTTTCAATTTAATTCTCTCAAGATTCTAAAGGATTCCACTTTTAAAGTGGTAATTTGATGGGCAGATTCAAGTGCACTGCATTATACAAATGCAACTTCTAAAAATACTGGGGGTACAGTCCCAAGATGCAGTCATTCACATTATTATGAAAAGGAAATGAATGCTGAGAAACTGCACAGGAAAGTCAATCCAGTGGACTAATTTTAAGGGCAGATGAGTTAAATATAGATTTAAAAAATGTGCAACTGGGAAGAGGTTTAAAAAAATCTAGACAGAAGGAGACTACATCATCTGAACAGTTTCCTCAAAGATGAGTGGCTGTTTTGGCTTAGACCAGGAGTGCTCAAATACATTTAGAATATAGTGATTCAGTACAAAGCTCTTCACTTCTGTGTTTTTCAAGTTTTGTTCTACCCTCCCTAGCTGGTGTCTTACCAGACTAAGACACTTACAGCAAATGCAAGTTGGAAAGAGATGTATATTTGCATGTGGGGCTGAGACAGACGAGTGGACAGTGAGGTGGATTGAGAACTGGCTGAATGGCAGAGTTCAGAGGGTTGTCATCAGCAGCACAGAGTCTAGCTGGAGGCCTGCAGCTTGTGGTGTGCCCCAGGGGTCAGTGCTTGGCCCGGTCTTGTTCAACTTATTCATCAACGATCTGGATGACAGGACAGAGTGCACCACCAGTAAGTTTGCTGATGACACCAAACTGGGAGGTGTGGTAGACACACTGGAAGGCTGTGCTGCAGAGAGGAACCTGATGAGGTTCAACAAGGGCAAGTGCAGGGTCCTGGACCTGGGGAGGAGCAACCCCATGCATCAGTACAGGCTTGGGGTGGACCTGCTGGAGAGCAGCTCTGTGGAGAGGGACCTGGGCGTCCTGGCGGACAAGTTGACCATGAGCCAGCAGTGTGCCCTGGCTGCCAAGAAGGCCAATGGGATCCTGGGGTGCATTAGGAGGAGTGTGGTCAGTAGGTCGAGGGAGGTTCTCCTCCCCCTCTACACTGCCCTAGTGAGGCCTCATCTGGAGTACTCTGTCCAGTTCTGGGCTCCCCAGTTCAAGAAAGATGAGAAACTACTGGAGAGAGTCCAGAGGAGGGCTACAAGAATGAGGAGGGGACTGGAGCATTTCTCCTATGAGGAAAGGCTGAGGGAGCTGGGCTTGTTCAGCCTGAAGAAGAGAAGGCTGAGAGGGGACCTAATAAATGCTTATAAATATCTGAAGGGTGGGTGTCAGGAGGATGGGGCGAGACTCTTTTCAGTGGTGCCCAGCGACAGGACAAGGGGCAACAGGCACAAACTGAAGCAGAGGAAGTTCCGTCTGAACATGAGGAAGAACTTCTTCACTCTGAGGGGGACAGAGCACTATATCACTAAAGCTCACTTTTTAAACAACTTGAGGAAAACATAACTTGAGCTGACTATTCTAGGCCAACAAACAGCAGTAGAGAAGTAAAAAAAAAAAAAAAGAAAAATTGAAGACAGTTGCACATCTGCATAGGAATACAAATATTAATACAGCATTTAAAGCATAACCCAGGTCTATCAAAATGCTGAGGGCAAATTGCAATGCTTGCTGCCTCTAGTAAGACTAACTAGGAGGGCAAGTGCATTAATGCAGGAAATGATGCTTTTACATGGGAGGAGCAAATACAACTTTGATTGGAGGTCAGAAGAAAAACAGAAAATGTTTGACTTAACTTCTTTTCAGGAAGGAGCCATTTTACAGAAGGCAGCTAAATAAGCGCATAAACATGACTCAAATCCCCATTTTTTTAAAATCTCAGCAAACACTACTTCTGTCCTTTCTGCTTCCTTCTAGATCCTTTTCAGAAAGTGTCTTCACTTTGAAGAATATTATTGGATGCTATAAATACTAATCTGTACTGTAGCACTCCTGTGGTTGGTTTACCCTGGCCAGCAGCTAAGCACCCACACAGCTGCTTGCTCACTCCCACCCCCTCACCAATGGGACAGGGGAGATAAGACCAAAAGCAAGAAGACCAGTAGGCTGAGATAAAGACAGTCCTTGGGAGGGGAGGTGATGCAAAGACAATCTCTCACCACCTCCCACAAGCAGATCTGCGCCCAGCCAGTCCTCAAGCAACAGCCACCCTGGAAGACAACACGCTCCCACCCCCTGCTTTCTTCCTCCACCTCCAGTTTTTATTGTTGAACCTGACATTATATGCTATGGATTATCTCTATGGCCATTTGGGTCAGCTGTCCTTGCTGTGTCCCTTCCCAACTCCTTGCCCACCCACAGCCTACTCACTGTGGGGGGGCCAGGAGCAAAGTGGAAGAACGAAAGAAAGCCCTGACACTGCATGAGCACTGTTCAGCAACAGCCTAACCAATGGTGTGCTATCAATACAGTTTCAGTTAAACATCTAAAACACAGCACTGTGTGGGCTGCTAAGAAGGTAGGTAACTCCATCCCTGCCAGAGCCAACACAACTCTGTCTCCAGGAAGCAAGAAGACAGGCCCATTCCCATCTAGATTTCAATTATGGATTTTGTTCTTACTTTCAAGTGATCCACACTGGGGCTTAGTTTTCGGCCTCAACACTGGGGAGGGTTTCTAGGCTCCCATTAATCAATGCAGTCAGACCACAGAAAACTCTACAGCTCAGCCCAAAAGTATTCATAGCTGTATTTACTAAATCTCTTGTCAATAAAGAGAATGTAGTTGTCTACCTCAAAGCTAGCTACTTCAGGCTAAACAAGGCAAGCTTTCCCTGGACTAACTCTCTGTGATCAAGTACTGAACTTATGGCAAGGAGAACGTATCTTACTGGAAGAAAATGCACAGTATCTTCACTAAATGGAAACAGATTCCACATACTTACATAATGTTTATCTGGGTTATATCTCTTCTGATATGTAAACACAGACACTTGTTTGATTCGGCCATCTTGTTTAAGAGAATAAGTTTTAGCAGAAAATGAGAGGATAGGTTCATCATTAGACGGTAGACCTGAGAAACGCAGCTGAGCCAAATTGTGAATGAAGAAATTAAACTTTGTGGCAACACTTCCCAGACTGGATTCAATCAACCTAGAAAGAAAAAAAAGGTCAAATACTAGAGCATGTCAGAAAGCACAAAAGCAGTTCTGTCAATGAATCAGACTTGAGTCTAAGAAAAATAGAAACCAATTCCTTACTGACAGAGAAATAGTTTTTAAACTAAAAGTGATCAATGGGCTACATAAATAGCATCATATCAGCATTTAATAGAAGATTCATCATCCAAACTTTGGAATGGGTTGTTATCCAAGAACTGAAGTCTTTGCCAGAGCTGGCGTACCACTGCAGTTTCCCCCATATATTTAAAACGAAGTACAGTAACACATTTTGTAACCCATAGCAACAACTCAGTTACACTATATACACACCCCCCTACTTGTTGCACTGGAGCATCATCCCGCTTTCCCCAGTGTGCAAAAGCACTTCCAGAGAGAGCGGCTTTGCATGCATTATAAGGTTCCCATCATATACACTGCTATTAAGCAATTTAGGATACACTCAGAATGCAAGCCTCAAACAGCCAAACAGAATTATCTGCTCTTCATATTTCAAACAAAATTTTTGCACAAGGTTACTCTTTAAAGGCAAAGTATTTTAGCACAAGCATTAATCTTACATGAAACTGATCTTTTTTTAAGCAGTCCACTGGTTAACCCGTATTTTATGATTGCATAGCAGAACTGTTCAACTTCTACAGACATGTTTGTGAACATCCTTAGTACATTTTTTCACAGCAGAATGCTCCCATTAAGGGGATGATGCTGGTAGCTATTTTAGTTTTCACTTATCCAGTACCTTGTAAAGAAAATGGTAGCTTCTGCATCTGTTGTTTGGGGCTGGAGAGCATCCTGGACATACTTCAAGTCCTGAACCCCACTTAGTTCTGGTAACCCAGAAGAAAGCATCTGCAGGAGTTTACAGTTTTAATACAATAAAACCAATATAATTTTACATTGAAATGATTAAAACTTAGACCATCAAATTCATTTGAAGCTGCTAAATGCTAACAGCAATAGCCTACAACTGCTTACAATCAGCAGTTATTCCCTTCACCATTTCTGCTGAGTTAAAAACAGTTAAAACACTTGTCGGTGTAATTTATGGTATCTTCTTAGTTTTAAATTGTCAAGGAACAGGTAGGTAGTAAAAAAGCTTGAAAGAAAAATCCAGATACAACTTTCTTAAAAAGTACTTCAGATGTTTCTGGCTTTTAAAAGCATGCATTAAGAATTTCTGCAGCATAAAAAGTGTAGCATTTAATACAATCCAACATGAGAGCTATCAAGTTTCAACAGAATTTAATAAAATGATTACCAATGAAAGTAAGTTAAGGAAGAGGCTTGCATGTTTTCTTATCAAATTGTAAGCTTGACAACAGAGATCCACAAACAACTGAAAGCGAATAGTGGGTTTTTCACCACCATTAATGACATAAGCCATGTCCGATGTTAGCACAAAAGGAGCTCGATCCCTGTTCAAAAAGCACAGAATTCATAAGTTAATTATAAGGTCTATTCATTTTGTCATGTGCTTCCTCCTTGCCTGCATCCCCACCCCGAGGTAATGATATTAAATAATCCATTAATGCCCCATTAATGCCATTTTACTTTTTTGGGTTGGGTTCAGCTGCTTAGTGCTCTCTCAGATCCCCATCACACTGACATGGTACTGGACCTACAGCAGATCCCTTGGAGCAACACTTGGAGGCTGGGCTGCCTTACAATGCCTTCCATTCCTTGTTTCTGGAAGCCGTAACACACTAAAACAAATGTAGTGACTATATTATCACCTGACTAAAACATAACTCCTCTATCCTGGATATAGATTATCTTCCCACTACTGTTTTTATGAGCCAGAGTATGTTCTCATTTCACACTCAAGACATTCAGATGACATACAGGTTTTGGCACTCAATTTCTTATTCATTGATAAAGTTTACCTAACATGCATGCAATACATAATTGCATTAATATAGCTAAAAAAGGCAAAACTACACTACAGTTTTATCCCATACTCCTGGAAAAGTATGACACCAAGATTTGTGTTACATGTAAGGCTCCCAACTATCAAGTGTTATATTAATCTTCTCCTGTACCAAAATACTTGTCTTTCATATTTATTGTAAAGAAATTCCCATTGAGATTTGCCACGTGTGTATAGCACAAAGTTCAAGGAATGAATGTAGTTTGGAAGCACTGCTGCCAAATGATGTTTAGGAGACCAAACTCCCTATTTCAATCTACCAGTAGCTAGAAGAGTAATTTTATTTGGAAACTATGCCTATGTGCTTTGACTTAAAACAGTTCCAGAGATCTCAATATGGAAACAGGAAGCTGGAGCCTTTTCCACATTAATTCTATACAGGCAAATTTGAAAGCATTCTGGAAGCTCTGTGGTTAAATGGGAAGATACTGGCTTCATAATGAGAACAGCAGATAACAGGAGTTTAAAAGTTAATGCTTAGAATTATAATCCTTATAAAGATATACAAAAAATCACTTCATCCTCTACATTGCTTAGCAACAGAAAATACCTTTTAAAGCTACCAAACATTTGTGCGTGACCCAAAAATTTTCCAAAATCAATGTGAAACATATGCCCTGTGTTTCGGAGCATTATGTTATCATTGTGGCGGTCACAAATTCCCAATACATAAGTAGCTACGCAGCATCCTGCACAAGAGTAGATGAAGTTTTCTGAAGCCTGGAAGGAAGAGAAAAAAGTGAATTAAGATTAAATATATACCACTGGGAAAACAGCATTCATGCATTCAGCAGTCAGTCTTGACAAGGGTAAAATCCAAGACAGAAGACAGGCCCTAAAATTTGCTTTTTTCCAAAACAGCAGTCTTCAGATAGAGCTTTGCAAAAATATTTAGATATCACACTTTCCAGCAAAAATGGTTGTTTTGTGGCTTTGGTTTTTTTTTGGTAAATGAAAGAGAAAAGAAGAGAACAAATCACAAAAAGATATAAATATATTAGCAGAGAAAAGAAAAGGGTACAAGTTGTTTTTCCAATGTGTTGTAACAACACTGTAGCCAGAACAACACATTTTATTTTTTGAATCCCATGTGCTTGTACGAGAAGATGCCACTGCTCCTAAACCACAATTAAAAGCAGCCACTATCCCTTCCTATCTTTAATTTGAAGTGTTTTTTTGTTATATCCAATAAAAACTCCTTATGAGAATCCCAAGAATCCATCTAGCTCCTTTTTAGTTATATACAGGATTTTAATTTGCTCTTTTCAAGTATAGGAAAAAATTAAGTTTCCTAAAGATATAAAACAAAAATCTCAATGGAAGATACGGATTAAGAATTTCATTCTTTTGTAAGATGGTATTTATCCCTTTTAAAAGATCGTCAGAAAAGAGTAACACTGAAAAAAGTTACCTTTTCATACTCCTCCTCTGTAGGATTATACTTTCGCAACCATTCTGCCAGAGGCTTATTTTTCAAAGAACCTGTCACTCCATATTCTACTTGAATTTTCCTAAGCGTATCTGAAGCAGGAACAAGCTCCACCATGCCTTTATATAAAATATAACAAAGTGTATTTAACCAGCTCCTTAAGTCATACTGTATTTTCATTATTCAGTAGAAACTTTTTTGACAACGATGGATTTTTATAATCTTAAGACTAGCTTCTTTCAAAACCCAGACGTGTTAAAATAGTGCTATTAGTCTACTAAGCATTTCCACAGACTATATTACAAAGCATACTGAAACACATGTAGTAATCCAAGTTAGGCTTACTTTACTACAATTAGTTACAGTTGCTAGAATGCACATATAAATTATACTTTGAATAATTACTTTCTACTACATAAACTAGTATTGGTGTATAAGCAATAACTGCAAAATATTTTGATGTTGACATTTCTCATACACTGACACTTAAGTAATCTAGTAACTTTGACTGCTGTCAAGTGTTGAAACAGACCAGACTTGCTCCAGAAATAAGGCAGTGGGCTTCACATGTGGTCTTATTTTGGAGATACAGTTTACTAAAAATACTTGTATAACGAAGTCATAAAAGGAAACAATTTATTTGATTAACAAAATTTTACTTCTATCTTGGTAAGAGCTAAAAGCAAATCTGTAATTTACATCCATTTTTCTTTTTCACTTTAGTCCTTCAAGTACTTTAGCAATACTAATATTAGCAGCAATAAAAAAAGTGTAACATGTTATGCAATTAAGTCATTGTTCAAAGTAGGAAGAACAGCCATCTGTTTCTCTCAAAAAATCAAGTCTTACATAAACAGAAGCTTTTTTGATTAGTTTTGCCAACTCAAATTTCCAACCTTTCCATGTATTTAAGAGTTTTCATCATGCTGTTCTAGCACCTGACTAAAGAAATATTTAAGTTATTGTTTATCCTCTTAAAGTTCTTGTGTTTCCTGTTGGCTAGGAAATTACTGAAAACTAGGAAAATGCATGTTTCAAGGTGCAGGGCAGTATTTACACTCAGAGTTCTGTGACCTAGTTTCAAACCTAAAAGACAGACTCATAGGAGGGCTACAAAAATGATCTGAGGGCTGGTGCACCTCTCCTATGAGGACAGGCTGAGAGAGCTGGACTTGTTCAGCCTGGAGAAGAGAAGCCTGTGCGGAGACCTGATTGCAGCCTTTCAGTACTTAAAGGGAGCCTATAGGAAAGATGGGGACAATCTTTTTAGTAGAGACAGCAGTGACAGGACGAGGGGTAATGGTTTTAAACTAAAACAGGGTAGGTTTAGGCTGGATATAAGGAAGAAATTCTTTACAATGAGGGTGGTGAAGCACTGGAACGGGTTGCCCAGAGAGGTAGTGGAGGCCCCATCCCTGGAAACATTCAAGACCAGGTTGGGCAGGGCTCTGAGCCACCTGATCTAGTTAGCGGTGTCCCTGCTCGCTGCGGGGGGGTTGGACTAGGTGACCTCTAGGGGTCCCTTCCGACCCAAAACTTTCCATGATTCTACGATTCTATGATTCCCAAGGAACTTTTACCAGCATGTAACACTAATTCTAGGGGATAGTGTGTATGTGTGTTAAATTTTTCTTCTTTTCGCACATTTCAGTACACTCAACTGCAGCAGACTCCAAATTCTTTAGAATTTCAGTTTTGTCTTGAATACTTTCTTTCACCATAACTAAACTTCCAGAATCAGGATTGCTATGGCACCATTATTTTTCTTGCACTGCAGTAAGGGCACGAAGAGAAACCTTAGCTTTTATCATTATTAGTGTTTACTTGTTTGCACCACTGTTCATTGTCAACAGAACACATAAGAATCTCAGGATTCAAGAAGAAACACATTTAAATGCAGCTCCACCATCAGGAAATGCAGAACAATTTAACCTGCTATACTCCTGAGCCCTGAAGTTCCTTTCACAGAAGGCTTCTGGCCTTCCACTCTTTCTTGGGCCTGCCTCTTCACAGCAGCTTTTCACTATCAGTGTGACAAGAAACTGAAGCCAGGGAGCAAAGATTACAGACAGTATCTGGTTTTGCACCTCGGTCCTTTCCAGTTGAGAGACACTTGAAGATCACCATCCGTAGGTCCAGTCCCTCCTGCAGCCAGATCTTATCCATAATCTTAATCATCTGTAAAGCCAACATATCTTGCCTCAGATCTTCTCCAACCTTAAACGGAAAAATAAAAGTTAACTAGAGACATAATATACTTTCAGCAAAACTGAACTTCACAGATAATTGCTTTACAATTCTAGGAAGTGATACATTATGCTACATACTTCCTAGCTATGCACTTAAAGAAAGAAATAGGCTAAATTTAAGCTTTCAAATGTGGTAGACTTACATTTTACAACCTGTTCAGACAATGGTTTCTAGACACACAGAAGCAAACTCGCAAAATAACTAAGCTTATTGGTCTGCGCTAAAGTTAATTGATACCCATGAAATAGTGATTATCATTCAACTTTTTTCTCCAATACGCATATAAGGCCTACCTTAAACATCACATTAATTTCTTCTCCCAGAGGGTCTGCATTTATCAGTGCAACTTTCAGTGGTACTGCATTGGAACTGAAGAAAGAACATGCCTACAAGTAGATTTCATGTTAATACTCAAAATGGACTATTCCTGCTAGCCCAGAAAACAAGACATTCTGACAAGTGGATTTGACACACAATGTGCCTATTCAGACTTTTAACATTGCGATTATAGCCAGTATGTGCTTCCTTTGAATAAAGAGCCCTTTGGCCATTATTTGCTGAATTCTTGTACAAAAGCCAATAGTGCTGCCAGTGATCTTTTATACATTTTGAAGGGATGAGTGAATAAAACATGGATAAATGTTTTATCAGCAGCTTTTTTTGAAGCCTAGAAGATATTATTAAAAAACAGGTATTTGCACGTTTCACAGTATTTTCTCATCTATCTGCTTTCAAGTACATACTAATGAGTTAATAGTTACAGTAGAGAATGAAAGCAAGACGAACCGTCTCTCCACACAAGATTAAATCCAGTATTCACAGACCTCTAGGTTCTCAGTCATGCATGATAATATAACCAAGACTGTGGTTGACCAGATATTGTCAAACCTTGCAGAGTTCTGGAAAAATAATTTACCTGCTTCTCCTACATTATTACTTGCTGGACCTTCACAATAAATTAAAAGCTACTGCCTGCTTTCCTGGATTCAGTGCATCTCTTGGACACAATCAGTAACAGTTACTCCTTGTTTCAATTTCGTAGCCTTGCTCAATGTTCTCTTTTGATTACTACTTCGAAGGGGGCTTTTTCGTGTACTCTGGATAGTCCCCTGCTTCACTGTAAGCAAGACTGCTTGTCTCAAAAGACAGCCTCAGGAGAAACAGCAAGTTATTACAGATTTTTTTTTTTCCCCCCAATACAAGTACCCTCATTGGTATTTGTATAAATTTTCTTTGCTTAGCTAATTTCACTGCCTTTTCAATCAGAAGTTTTAAATAAAACCCTCTTCTCCCCTCTAGCGTAAAGAGCTCCACTGATTTTTTTTTTTTTGTATTTGTAAAAGCTTTGCCTATATGTAATTTTTACAAAAAGGTTTTGAAACTCTGAATGTGCAGTACCTTAATGTTTAGCTCTTTTGCCACAAGACTGGGATTGAGAGGCAAACGGCATTTGTTCTTCAAGAAAAATAACTGCACACGTTCCATACCATTTTGCAAGGCAACCTGCAGACAAAAAAAGAATTTAGCTGACATTTTCCTAACTGGAGCATCTACAGAAAATTTCTGGACAAAGTTATCCTGAAGCCACTGTTTTAAGCCCCCAGTGCCAAAAGAATGCTAGAAATTACAATTGTTTTAGCTATTAAAAATACATAAGCCTAGCAGTACACCACTAACATCACACAAGTTTGTGGTGGTTATTTTTTTACTGATCCAGATGATAGAATCCCACTCCGTCAAACTGTAAGTTCACGTTATTAGCATATAAACAGATAACCCATTCTTTTGCATAATGGGATCATTCTTTAGCACTAGTAGGTTTAAATCCAATTCCAGTTTATTATATACAGAAACCATCCTACTTACTTACCTCATCACCTCTGACAATCTTATGTTTCAGATGACAATAAACTTGACAAAACCCATTAACTTCATTAACCCATTAACTTGTTAAGTTAAAATGCAGACCATTACATTCATACAGCTTCCTATATATTTTATATAACATTGTATTGAATTTAGACTAAAAAGGCAATTGAGTGGATTGTTTTGAGGGTATACTCACTCTAATCTTCCTAAAGAATATTAAAAATACATACACACCTGCCGAGCAGATCCACTTGTTTGCTTTACTCTTTCTGCTACCATTCCAAAAAGCTGCACTAGTCTGGTCTGCTTCTCCAGCTCTTCCCTCAGCCTTTTTCCACAGACTGAAAGAAAAGCTCCAAGAATTTGCTCATACCTTACACCAAACTTTGTATCATACAGTGTATCCTTAAGAAGCCTGAAATAAAGAATTTAAGTGAAATTTTCCCAAGGAAAATACTGCAAAAAAATGCAATACAAACACCTTAAAAATATTTTAATGAATCAGTACTGTTATATCTGAATTTACTGATATACAGGTATAAAAGACAGTAAGTTTGTGCTTTGTTGAAGCACCATCTGCCTTTTCATAAAAAAACCAGGATCTACACTTTGCATATGCTCCATTCATAACATTAATTCTTATGAACTATGATATTAAGAATATTTTTTCTGGAAATATTAATCGTATAGCAAGCATTACGTGAACAATGGAACAAAGAACATCTTACCAATACAGGTAGTGCGCTATTCGAATGCTTCCCAGTGCTCGAGCCAAAAGAAATTTGACAAGAGCACTGTCAAGGTAGGTTTCATACTTCAATGCCTAAATACAAAGAAAACGAACTAAATGAGGTCTGGATTTAACTCCAGATCAAGACTAAAATTTTATGACTAATGCACAGACAGAATTGCCACAACTCCACAGAACAGTCACAGAGCAACTATTTACTCAAATTGTTTTCCATACCATGCATAAAGGTTATCAGGTATAGAAGCATACAACAGCACTTCTGCTGCTAGTAATCAGCAATTCCTTTGGTTTTTGAAGAGCAAAAAAAAAATTTCAAACTTCAGTGCAGGCAGAACACCTTACCTGCACAAACTGAGGGAGGAAGTCTGTTAACTCATCATCACTTAATGTCTCTATCCAACTCACAGCTGTATTTCGTACTTCCTGATCAGCAAACCTAGAAAGTCACCACAAATCCACATTAAGTTTATTCTGCTCATGTAGGATTGTTTTTTTCTTTTTTGAGATCAGCTAGATACATAAGGACCTATAAAAAAGTCTTTAATAGCTCAATATTAAGGACCTAGAAGTTTGAGGCCCTTCCATTGCCGAAGATGCAAACACATGTGTGTGCTCAGGACAAGCACACCAATCTCTCAAAACTTCAGTCTTGATAGCTTGGCTGTCTTGCTCTCCTGTCACAAAATTAGATTTTGGAATCCTAACCACTATTGCTATTCTTGCATTACACGACTTGCTTAAGCCTACGTGAATAAAGTAAGCATGCGTTCATCACTTTCTTTTGCTACAAGAAATTCAGCAATATTTTCCACAAGAACGCCATTCAGAATCTTCTACTGAAGAAGAGTCATTTAATGCACAACACACACAGAGAAGTAATTTATATTGTTATTCTTACTTTGAATCAAGTAGTTCCAGTGCAGCTAAGGGTGATAGAGGAGGCCACTGCTGAAGTAATGAATATATTTCTGGAAGACTTGCCCAGTCCCAATGAGGTGCACTAACCAGTATTTTTGGTAGGCTACTAGTATGACTATGACAATAATGTCGCTTCTCCCACAAAAATTCCTTATCTTCTTTTGATAGCCTGCAGACAAAAACATTTCAGTTTATAATGCACATTACAGACCATCACCTGAATAACCCCAATGCTACTGGTCATTGTATACCTGCAGATAATTTAACATACAAAATGGAATGAAATTAAAATGGCTATTTCCTCCACAAAAGTCAAGATGAGAAAAAAATAAAACCTCCAACATTATGGAAACAGTTGTTCAAAGTTATAATTTGGGCAGGACAAAAATAAGTTTTAGTATAATCTGAAATAAACCAAAATGTTAATGTTAGTTTGGTGGAGATGAGTGGGAAAGCCTGCCAGAAAAGCTTCCATGGCATATGAACAGCTACTGCTGAAACTGCCACTGCTCCCTGTAACTGAAGAACTGCCAAACAGGAACAGGCATCTATAGCAGCCAGCCAGAAGGGTGGCAATCTTGTAACAGGAGAATATTATGACATCAGCCATGGAAAGCACAACTAAATTCACTAGGTCAGCATCATTATTTCACAAGTTTAGTTCAGTCTTTTGTTATAAGTCTCCAAAGGTCTTCAAAATATACTAGAACCATATTAAAGAAATTTAAGAATAAATAAGCATTCCATAACCTAGCCACAAATTGTCACATACAAAGACACCATAGACAGAAAGAGATGAACATACCCAACAGTGTTATCCTTTGAGAGAATGGCAAGGAGACGTTCTCTCAATGGTTTTTCTAATGTTTCTATGGAATGGTGCACGGTAGTCTTTGCAGCTTGAGGAATTTTATATTCAATATCAAAAGCATGGGATGGAAAGTCAATCTGAAAAAAAAAAAACCAGACATGATGGAAGCCCTTAAGCACAGTACCAACCACGTTTTGGGACTGCTAAACCATATGTAACAAGGTGGTTCTTGTCGTATGTAACACGGCCTTCTCCACAGAGAAATTTGGACTCTGAATTTACAATAAGAGCTGCTCATGTTCTGTAAAGAAACCGGAATTGCTATTGTTTGGGCCTAGACAACTCCTATCTCAGCACACATTTCTACAGAATGTTTTTCAAAGATGTCTTCTCCCAGTACTGACAGCATGTACTACCAAGGCATCTCCATTTTCTTACTTCAAGACAGTGATTCACTAACCGACTCGTATACACTTACAGCAGCTTCCCATTCTTTGCCCTTCATGCTTAGTAATCACTATTCTATACTGGCTTTCAAATATGACTTAGCAACATTTACACTCTCCCCAAAAAACTAACTGATCTACTACCACCAACTGACCTCATACCAACATAAGAGTTATAAGTCACAACATGCAAACTAAACGTAGTCAGATCAAGTCAAAAGTATATATAACCTGCAATACTATTCTTTCCATATTTCCTTTCTTACTGGCCATCCCTGATGCATGGTGAAGATGTGATGAGGTCCAGAGTTGCAAGAGCTTTGTCCCAGAAGCTAACAATCTGAGGAAAAAAAAAAAAGCATGTACAGGCATTAGTGTCACAGTGTTTACTTTAACAAGATATTAGTTATTAAAATACTACTTGGAGAAGACCAATGGTCACTACAAGGAAACAATTCCAAAGTATTAGCGTGGTATAGGAGGATAGTTCAAACAAAGTATGTGTTTCTACTGCAGAGATAAGAAAATATCTTATGAGTATTTCATTACTGACGTTCAGAAAAGAACACAGGAAATCAAACTGTGCTAGCTGATACAGTTCAGAGCTTAAACGAAAATTATGATCAAAGTGTCATATGAATTTATTTCTTTCACTGGATGTCTCCTGTACTTTAAGTCTTTTAAAACACTGCATACAACTTCAAGGCAGAAAACGCAGAGGAAAAAGTCCAGTGCTGACCGAGCTAGATTAAGTGCTCCCTGTTTCTTAAGGGAGAACAGGAATACTTTTGCCTCTGAGGAATAACCTGAACACCTGTACCTTCTTACCCACTCAGAAAAAAGCCATAGGCATACGAACATTACAGACATCGCCAGTTGCCTGGACTTTCTAGCTTACTAGATCCTGCAGGCGCATATCAGACGATGTTTGTATTTGCCAGTCTATTCCAATTATTAATACCATTTCCAGCTGCAGTACTTTAATTTACTTCATAAATCGGTTATGTGCTGAATGTTAGGTCCAGAAAACTTCTATCAGTCTTTAAAAATCAAAATTCAGTCTTCAAATGACCACATGATGGCCCAGCCTTTAGTAAATTTTGAAAGATGTTTTAGGGTTTATATGTGTTTAAATAAAAGAACAGTTCTTTTCATGTAAATATTGATTAACTGGGAGCTTATGATGCCAATAAAAATTAATCATGCCACTAAAGCATAACGGAACATCTTGTTCTTCTTAATAATTCTCCAGTTTAATACATGTGCCACAGCCTCCTGTCTCATCCACAAGTAAAGATATTTTCAGGCACTCCACACACTTCATCTGAAGGGATTTTAGCTTGACTATGGATTCTTCCAAAGCACATACATGACCTTTTATTCTTCCTATGTTTTAGTTAGCTACAAGTTTTAGCTCCTGCCTGCTACTGATGCTATTCTCAACTGAAACTGGAGTATTTGGTTAGTATCTTGAATTACCTAGGTTTGGATTTAATTTCTGTAGGCTGCAAGTGGATTAGACCACTAGCATCTCACAGCTGCCACATACAGACCATTCAGTAAACCCTGGTGCAACACATTCTACTGTAGCACTCCGCACAAACAGAAAATAGTTTTCTCCCCAAACTACTATGAGAACACCATGCAGCATGTAGTCAAGATAAATTTGAAATTCAAATAAAAACAAAAGCTATGTTTTCAATCAAATACTGTGAAGTGTGATATTTAGATAGGAGACTGAAATGCAAGATTTAAACAGAAGGCTGAAATAAGCATCATTTACAAAAAGAAGTCCAAGTTTCAGCAGTGACTGAAAGCAGCTGCGGGCCATCTTTGCAATGCAGGAAAGCCTAAACTCTTAAGTACCCCCAAGCTGTTGGAACTGCCACCATACAAAAGGGGAAGCGCAACAAGTAGACCCATATCTAGAACCAGAGGATGCAAACCACATGGAACAGGCATAAAGCAATACATAGCAGTAACTCTCCAGGAAAGACTTGGTTGTCCTTCTGCAGCCTTGGTTGGCAATTAGATAATTTAAGCTTCCAGTAAGACCTAGAAGTCAGACACACATATAAAGAGGAAATTTTAAGCATAAGTCTTGAAGCTATTTCGCAACACTGTGATCAATTCTGCAACATCATGCCTAATTCTGGCATCCATGGTTCAAGTCTTTTGCTTAACATTTCACTGAATAGGTACCGAAGTGCTAAGCATTTTGGAATACACTTCATAATGAAAATTTCAAAGACAAAGGAAACTTAAACAAATCCAGGAACACTTCACCGAGGAAAGTTACAGCAGGCTTTTCATTCTTAGTGAAAAAGGTGTAACAGGATCCAGCAGCTGTACATGAAGGAAGGCCACTTCATACTAGAAATACGCCGTAAGTTTAACACAGTTGTTAATTATCTCTTTATTTTAATTTTAAATTGTTAAATAAATCCAGCTCTGAATCAAAAGGAGTAATTTCAGAACATCCTGGGATCTCTATTACTCTAACAGGCTGATAGAAGTACTGACCTTTTTTTCTTATCTATGAAAATACATCTGTATTTTAAAATATATCTAAATTTCAAGATATTATTTTTATTCTCTTGCTGGCTTATATATTACCACCCTATTTTCAGATTTAGGAATTTTTAAAAGGATTAAAGAAAAAAAATCAATATATCCAAAATTCTCCGGTTTGGCTCTGTAAACTTATGGAACATGCAGCACTGAGTATTTTGCAACCAAGGTAAAGATGCCTCTAGAGAATAACAATACTTGGAAATACTCCAGACCTTAAATTAAAGGTCTTTTGTTTCTAAAAATTTGAGCCATCACCATGTTTTGCTCTACAAACAGGATTGGGTGAAGGTAAGAGCTATTCTTTCCTATCTTAAAAATGTTTTAAGGCAAAAGTGACATGATGGAAGCATAGCACATTGTTTACCTGCTGTCAGTCCACCATGGCTTATGATTTGGCTGAGAACTGGCTGTTTACACTTCGTCTGCTAGAATATATGTGAATACTAACTGAACTGCCTGTAGCCAATATAATGTGCTTTTAGATCTTCTAACCAGATATCAGAACTTGTGAAATGCCACCTACCAAGACCATACTCCTTCAGTAGCAGTGAGGCTATCAGTTCAGTAGACAGTGATACCTGCAGATACTTTAACTGCATATGACTTACAGGGCAACACCTGAATGTCAGCAGATTCCCCAAAGGACAACTTGAGTTACACTTACATACTCAGATGCTGCACACTTGCAAACAGTTGGTACTAACATGACCACTTTCGGCCCATATTACTATGCAGATAAACTGCAAATAAAGTCACTTTCATCCAAACAGCAGTCATTTCCTCGAGCAGGTAAGTTTTTTCAGCCAGTTAGATGGAAATACTGCAACACAGCACAGTGTTTTGTACTCTATTTAACTTCAAGTATTATTTCCGTAACAACGCAGTTTACAATTCTTACCTGTATCGTGGCCTACTACATTCAGTGACAGAGAAGCAGGTTCTCTAGTTATGGGAATAGAGTAAGCTTTATATAGAGTAAGTTGTACTAATAATCTTACCCATATCTCCGATACCTACCGCCTAAAATCAAAAAGAGGTAGAGAAACCTGACCCAAAATTTCTGGGCCCTTTCTCTGCTTGTTTGAGTCGGGAGAACTCCCACTACTTTGATTTAAGATTCCAAACAAAGTCAGACATAAGACTGATTCCAAAGGCAGCTGTGAAATCTGGACAGGGAAAATTATTCTGTAAAATAAAAATATTAAAAATAACTCAGTCAGAAGACAGACAGTTGTTAGTAAGTTACAGGCTTATCCATATAACCCAACCTGCTTTCAAAAAATTAATTAACATTGAAGAACAAGTGTTACATTTCCACGCAACTATATTTCACTCCACTTTTATCTCCCATACCAATAGTGTGCAAAACCTGCTAAATTACACTTCTGCATTGTAGTCAGATTTCAAACAACCCTTTTGAATCTTTGTCAATTAAATCACATTCCTTACTCAGAACCACACTATCCAGCATAACCAGTCTTCCCACTCTACTTCAATAGGAGACACACATTACCATGTTAGCTGCCTCCTAATCTCTCGCATTTAGTCAGCTGACAATAGTTTCCCATCCGAAAGAAAGAATCTATTAAGAACTACTGAAAGCTAAATTCAAATGGTACAAAGCCAGCATCCATAAAGAAAGCAGCTGAAGACTACACACCTCACTGTGCAATTCAAACTCTGATTTTTGTTTACACTGTTTTTGTTGCTTAAAATGTGCTTTAAGTTTGATTTTCTGTAACACGCCAAAATATCATTCTAAAAGTTATCACAGCATATTACTAAGCCAGTTACACTATAAAACACCACAATTATATCAAGCAGCTTGTAAGCAAATTTATCACATCTTTCACTGTTATACACTAGTACTTGCTAGCAAACGATCTGACAATCCCTTGCATCATCAGGGAAAAAAAATGATAGGAGCATTCTCTGAAGGCAGGTATTCTAGAACCTGAAACTTTCATTCCTGGTCTGAAATAATTTGTCACTGTAGACTTTCAGGGTATTCCTCATGATCTATCTCTTTGACCTTTAAAAACAGTCAGGAAAATAGACATAGGGCAACATGGAGCTCACATGAAGCTCCAGTTATGAAAGGCTGCCTCACAGCTATTAAGTGGAAGAGAGTAAGCTGTGCATAGATAATGAAAAATACTTTCCTTTCTCAGTTATCAGATATCACCCACTATTCTCTCCTTATTTCTTCTCTGCGTGCCCTTCCTTCTTCCTTTCTACCCTCTACCCCTGCTCCATAAATAGAAACTGAACTTTCTTAGCTCAAACCAGACAGTCTCACGTGCTATAGGCAGATACTCTTAAGCACTTCTGCATCTGCTCTCTTTGTAGAAATAATCCTAAATTAGATGTTTAAACTCAGATACAAGGTTGTTACAATGTATTTGGAACAAACAACGATTCAGCATTAACGTTAGTAAAAATGAGTTGCTTTTCCTCCCCATTTGCATTATTTGAGCACTGCTTATAAATAAGCTTAATTCATCCTTCTTCAGGCAGTACAAGCTGTTCCCATTACAAGGGATGCTATGACCTTCCCAACTCCTTATAACTGTATACTAGAAACACATTAGCACAGGCACTTGTCCAGCACTTCCATTCCCACTTTTAAGAGGAGTGGTGAAATACCATTTGGAAAAGTATTTATGATTTTGGTCAGTAAGTATCAGGCATTGTTCTTGCAAAACTTCAAATGGAATCTGAGGCAAGAGCTGCTTGAATGACTGCATTCAGCAGCTAGCTAGGTAGGCACTAGCTAAACCAAAATATTATAGTGAGTTTTAGCATGTTAAAGTCACTTACAGTTCATCCCATTTAATCAAGTAGAAGAAGTTCTTGTATGTGCCAACCTTCTTGGACTGAACAGGTTTAAACAGATCTTTTCCATTATGGGTCAGAGAACAAATCAAGTAGTATTTTTCATAACTGGACAAGGAAAAGAAAGCAAATTAAATGAAAAAAGTCTACAAAAGGATGAATTTTACAATTAATAAATATTACTCACTTTGATACCCAACCAGGAGAAATCCCATGTGCAGCAAATATTGTGAACTGGAGATGTTCTGTGGCAGTACATGCTTCCTTAGTACTCTTACTATCTTTTGAAGAAATTGCTGCAGAACTGCTACAAGAATTCACGTGGAGTTGCAGAAGGGCCTCAACGGCTCTTGTTAGCTGGTCTACACTCACTGTCAAAGGGTTTTCAGGCTGCAGTGAACCTAAATTGTAATTTATCTTTAATGCATATCTTCCTAAAACAACCACTTGAAAGTAGTTTTCAAATAAAATTGAAGACCTTTACTCACCAGATAAGCTCTTGCTAGTGTCATCACCACATTTTAAGGATACCTACACAGTAAAGTTAGAGCAAATTTCAGTACCAAGAAACCCATATTAATTTTCTATTGCTCTTAAGTATCTTGCACAGAAATGATGAACCATCTGAATTACGCTCATGTTTGGGTTTATGTAACACATCTTTTTACTCAAAGTTCCTCAAGAGTTAACTGACAGCATCACAATTTCTGTATCATGCAGCTACTATTCACCAACGTCAAAAGCTCATGTTTTGTCAAGTCAGAACTATTCTGACACCCTTTATGAACTCTTAAAAGACACAGTACATTGGAATATTGCTCAGGATACTGTGACTTCTTCGAGAAGAGAAAAAACTCTGTCAGGGCTGCTATGCATGAAAACAGCAACTGTTAGCTCTATTACCCAGTAACCTGTCTGAACAGCTGTTTTCTTTGTGGCACTTGTTAAGGTATCTTTTGTAGGCAAAGTTACTATAAATGCAGAGAATAGAAAAAAACATTCAACAACTGAGAAAACCGAACAGCAAGTACTGTCACTTTGTACAGTCTGCTGTGTTTGCTTCTTGTTCTGCCAAACATGAAGTCTAAACATGATAGAGTCTTACAACAATGTCTAGTCTCAACAAGGACACTGTTGCAGCCAGCAGGTGACAAACAAATCATGGGAATTTACTCCCTTCTAGTAAGGAAGGGTTTCATGCCAAATTCAACTTCTAACAAGCCTAAAACTTTTAATGAAAAGTAAGTTTGTGATTTAAAAACAGAACCCAGTGAATTCCTAATACTTCAGAGAAAGCCCGTTTGCCACAATTGCTGCAGAAAAATAAAGCTCTCCTTACATTTTTAGTGTATTCATTGAGCTTCTCATCAACATTAAGTTTTAACTACCAAACCCCTTCACTTTCTTATAAAGAAGTGCAGAAACTTGGGGGGGGCAAATCACACCATTTTCCACTTTCAGGAAAGCTGACAGGTATGATGGAAATATACGGCAAGTAGTGCAAGTACTTTTGGATGGCAGGATGCCAAAACTGTTGAAAAAGCACTATACATGTAATTTTCTACTTGACAATCTACTCTTTTCTTTTAGTTTTTGGCCACTTCTTCCAACCACAAAACAACTACTTAAAAAAAAACAAACAACACACACAACAAAGAGAATCCCCAAACTATCTTACATAAGGTTTAGATGCAACTGGCTTCAATCTTTACAGCAATTTAGTTTCTGAAAGCAATCCTGTATGCCTTCATACACATTGCCTTAAACCGTAATGTTCATCACAAAAGAATTACAGGGCTCTACCAATCAAAAAATACTATGCCAGTAGAATGTGAAAAAGGTACTTTTTTAAAAGTTATTTTTACACCGTAATCTAATTAATTCTACAGCTTTCTCCTATCAAAAAACAAACATTGCAGAAATTTGATATGCTGTATTTCACTGTTTTCTTATTAGATCTTCTGCATTTCCCTGCCACAAATTTAGTTCTTGTGACAATCATATTTATTTGGTCCATGCATTTTGCAAGATTTCAGCTCAGTATTACAAATGCATCACTGAACTGATAAAGCCAAAAGTGTATAGAGCAGCACATGAATCGCCACTTTAATAAGGCAGCAGGACAACAGAAACAGTATTACAAGACTACTTAGCTTTTTTATTTGCACACTTCTCCATTTAATGACTGTTTTTGACAACGTGACTTGAGACCAATTCTGTTCAATTGAACTGTTCATTATAAGGCAGTTTTATCAAAGTCTGTGCCATCTGAGAGATTTTTATTTTGGTCCATATGCTCAGGAATGCAGGAGCAAGAACTGTTAAGAGTTAAGATGCTATTGCAATTCACATAAATACTGCACAGAAAATACATGATGTGAATTCCCTCTTTAAGCACAGCTGCATTGATTTTAGACAGCATGAGCTAGCTGTCGGTTTTCCTCAGATTTAGTAGCATCTACTGTGACACAAATCCGTAATTACATAACCAGAAAAGAGTATTCTAAAACTAGTTTTAAAAAAGTCATTATTTAGAACAGGAAAAGATTCCAAGAGCAAGTGATCAATGCATTAACAGCAAAGAGATGTTAAAATAAATGGAAGATACCAGGTAAAATAGAATAAAAGCACTATACATGTAATTTTCTACTTGACAATCTACTCTTTTCTTTTAGTTTTTGGCCACTTCTTCCAACCACAAAACAGTCATAACTGACTGAACTGTTGCTGGTATTTGCAACCACCAAAGATTACGAAATAGTATTTATTAGTGTTAAAAAGCGTATCTCAGAATGCAGTGTGAAAGTTTACCTCAGCATTTTTAGTCCTCGGAAGATTAACAGCCCTCCTTAGCTTCTTTACTGATTCCGTTATTGCAGGAGTCTCTACACAATCCAACGTAGAACAGATTTTTCTGACAATCTTAATTACTTGCTCTACTGCTTTATGCTGGTTCTAATAAGGAATGTATGAAAGAACAGATTGATCTGATCATAGCTGTGAAACCCAGTATTGCTTTAGTTTTTGTTATTTTTTTCAGAATTGCCAAGAAAATGTCATTATGAGATGCATCTCAATTACATCAAACTATGGTGTAACAATTTGGTGAAACAAAAACCTCAGTATTGAGAACTTCCTTAGTACAGATTCTAGAACGGCGTCCTAGGAAACATTTTGACGTTTCCAACGATTTCTCTACTAAGTTGTAGGCAGACAAGTATTTTCTAATGAGATATTAAGCTCAAATTCCCCCATAGCATTAAAAAAAAAGGCAGTTCAAAACAGATATTCAATTAGTGCGAGGAAGGAACACTAAAGAAGCAGTGTTTCAATTTCAGCCCTCTTAAAACAAACACATAGGTTCAAACTGCACTTACACTACAGTAGTTTCCCTACTGGAACTTTATCTTTTTTACTTCATCTTAATGTACTTTCGAAAAAGTTTGTTGCAGCTTTTGTCTTACATATCACTTATTTTAAATGGTGATGCCAGATCAAGCAATTGCAAACTGTCACCTTGGAGAAGGAAAGGAAGGGCAATTGCACACTTACAGGAATCTTTTTTGATAGGAATAGATCAGCTTCTTATCAGAAAATGAAAACGTTTGTAAGCTGTTTAAGATGAATTCAAGATGCTCCTAATATTCCCTTCCTCCTCCTCTTCAAACAGCAGAAAATCCACTTAATTTAAATCTAAATAATCCCAGATTTCTTGGGTTTTGTTTTTTTAATATAAGCAAAGTCTTTATCCCATTTTAAAGAATACATATAGAAAATGAAAATATTTGCTTCAAAATAACTCACTTTTAAAAGGCTTAACGTACAGGTTTCTTTCACAACCACTTATGAGCACTTACAACTATAAAAGAGGGACTAGTGTAATCCTCTTGGTAAGATGTAAACTGATTCCCAGTCCCCATCCCCCCAGACATATTCTCACGACCTTCCTACAAGTCGATAGCAAAGAAGCCATTTGAATCAAAAAGTTTTGGGATGGGGAATTACCTGGCAACAATTAACTTTAATGGTTATTTTCTTACCAGGACAAAGTCAGAAGACATGGTAAATATTTAAGCCATACTTTCAAAATTAACACTTTGAAGATAACAGCTGTTTTGGCACACAAAAAGCAAAATTTTAACTGCTATCATCCTTGTAGGCTCTCGAATTAATCTCAATTAAAAGACAATAGTTAATTTTAAAAGTGTCCAGCAATGTGAAATCAAAGGTATTTACAGATTACTTTGTTTCACTTTGATTAGCAAACTTCAACTACTGAATATGTACAGGAATTCACTTCTGGAAGTGATCATCATCACCTACAAGCTACATCTCCCATCCTCAAAAAAAACATAGAAAGAGTAGAACAGAAGTCTGAATTGAGATGTTTTGCACTCCTCACCTCAGCCTGTGAAAACACAGTTAAACAAGCAAGCTGAAGTGGCTGCAAGAGCAAAGCAACAAAAACACCACCATATCAATGAGCAGTAACATCTCACTCTTCTACAAAAAGATTGTGTTCAAAATTACCCTTGAGAACATGGCGAATCACCATCAAGGGAATTAAATAAGATTCAGAGAATACGTAAATAGTGGACATCAGTGCATTCCTGAAGAGGCAAATACAGTAGAAATGAAAAATTCATTTCAAGACTGTTCTTAGAGAAACTGTTTAAGAAATATGGTTCTCTAATGTTTAAGAATTTAAGACTCCAAGTCACATAACTATCAGGAGTTAAACTAAGCTCCTCCACCTAAAATGAGTAAAGCAGGTTGTCTTCAGCTAGCTTTTGCATTTGGGAAATTGCTGCAAACTACTCCGCATGCAAGCTGTTTTAAGCTATCTATCATACACTGACATAGACAATGGTTTTGACAGTGTATTTTACATTAACTCAATACTGCAGAGTAAGATGCACTTTGTGTAGAACTTACTTGTATGTTCCAAATATGCTTCAGTTGTAACTCCCATTGTACACAACTATTACTGCTCACTTTTGTGTAGATTCTTATCTGTTACCAATATATCATCCATGCCTGACAACTGACATAGTCAGGATTCAGACCTTTTCCCTATTCCCCTATATTAATCTATTCCAGCATTTTTGAGGAAAAGGTTATTTTGCACCCTAGGACTTGGAAGGTACATTTCTAGTTGTGACAATTAGGTAATTAGTTTGCAAGATAAGCTGGAAAGAAAATAGGAAAAGCAATCTAAAAATCTATGATTCCAAATTTACATTTGACAGCCTGTTCAGATCTGTTTCCCCAAGAATACCTGCAAGTCTTTTTCCAACTACCTCATTAGTAAACTTTCTCATGCTACTTTTGATTCAGCAATAATTTACGATGCCCTTACCTCATTTTTAAGAGCTATATTAACTTGCTTGTGATACGTATCAAGAAGCTCTTCAATAGAAGACCTGCAAGGAATAGTAATTACTGAATGTAAGTGCAAGAGCATAACATAATCTTGGTCAGCAATTCAGCAGTGTGCTCGATTACCAAAATTACCTTATAGTAGGTTCTCTGAAAGGCTTTTCTACTTTGTAGAGGTGTTTGGTTAGATTTATTGGTGTTCTGTCATCATCTTCCTGCAATAAAATATTAGATATTAAGTCCAGTTCTCACCTTTCTATGATTTGTAATACTGCTTTAGAAGCTTCATTACTAATATCTGTGGAGTAGAAGGTGATCTCTTCAAAAGTGAAAAGAAATAACTAATCAACAGCCTATGAAATGTGTACACATTGGGACAAAGGGAAGAAACAGCAATTGAGTGCCTAACTATGCAGATATCAAACATTCCTCCCTTCCTCTTTGATAGTCTGATACATATCTAATTAAACTCAAAAACTGTCCACTACTTTTATTTAACTCTGAAATTTGCTGCTTCTCTTTCAGGCCTCAATTTTAGTCCAAACGCTTGCATACTTTTTCCAGCTATGGTACTTGGTCTAGTAAGAAACATTATCCACGTTTATATTATTTGCCTTGAAAAAAATCAGTATGTATTTCACTTCGTAGAATCATAGAATCATTAAGGTTGGAAAGATCATCAAGTCCAACCGTCAACCCATCACCACCATGCCCGCTAAACTGCGTCCTGACGTGCCACATCCACACATGTTTTTGAACGCCTCCAGGGATGGTGACTCCACCACTTCCCTGGGCAGCCTGTTCCAACGCCTGACCACTCTTTCAGTAAAGAAATTCTTCCTAATATCAGTCTAAACTTCCCCCGATGCAACTTGAGGCCATTGCCTCTCATCCTATTGCTAGTTACTTGGGAGAAGTAGAAGTATAGTACTCCATGTAAGAGAATACAATTCCCGACACCAAGCAGAAATACTAATTTGTTAATGACACAAAAAGGTTACACCTCAGATTGCATCAACTCTGATGCAAACTCCCAACCTCTTGGAAGATTTATATCGCTGCTGCAGTTTAGGAGGTACTTACTGTTCGTGCCAGATCTCTGCATATTACACTATGGGTCAAGAGCTGCAGTTTGATTTCTGTATCCCACTTCCTACAGTTCTGAATATATTCATGACTTCCTACACAGTGCTTACTGTTAAACAAAAGAAAGCTATAGTTACGCCAAAAATATGCAGTGTTTTTCAAAAAACTCACATGGAATATCTAATACAACCAACCTGTTGGCTCAAACTAAGGAAGCGGTGAATCAACCTCCACACCATACTACCTGATCCGACTTTTACTTCTGCAGAAGTTTTAGTATACTATTACAGGTACCCATACTTCTGCTAAAGCTCTTAACTACTGTGGGTAACAATGAAACCAAATATTCTAACCCAGAAAGCAACTGGAGATTTGTAAACCATTACTTTTGGGGAAAACAATGAAAACACACAAACACCACCACAGATTATTTCAGATTATTAGATATCATCAGTAGATGTTTTTTTCCTGGTTGCTGGGATTCAAAGAGCAGCTGGAAACTAGAACATCCATCCACAGAAATGCACTAGAAATCTGCATCTGAAAAAACCTGTGTGTGTTCAACACAACAGATGGCAGATTAGAACAGATTTCTAGGAAGCTGTCGAGAACCTACCTTGCTGTATCCCAGAGTAACTCTAAAGACTTCTAATCTTTGTGCAAAATGTGACTCCTATATTTTTGTCTTCTGCTTTCACACATTTGATTGTGAAAGATATACTTTCCAGTAACTGTATCATGAAAAACCATAATGTTAAATATTGATGAAAAAGAGTTTGCTTACTTCTGTAAAACTTCTTCTTGGCCACAGACTTTCAGGATATAGCTGCCAATGTCCACTTCATTCAAGTCATCATGCACCCAGCAAAGTGCCTGCATTATTATAAGCTCAACAGGGGAACTCACTGTTTAAAGAAATTACATCTAGAAGTTAAATATAAACCTATAGCAAGTGATATTAACCACTGTTCACTCAAACTGTAGTTACTGGAATTTATTTTTATACTTGTGAGGTAAGATTCTTATGCATCTATAATTTCCTAAATTTCATAGTTTGAGATCTTCACTTTTTTTCTCCTGCAAAGAAAGGCATAAAACCTGTTTGTAGTTTAAGAAATCAATAAATCCTTTTTTAGATTAGGATACAGTGTAGTCACTCGACCAAAAGTACAAAAACAGTCTGCAGTCTGTTTTCCAAAAGTTTTTGGGGAGAGCTTTTTTTTTAATTATAAATTTGCCTTATTTAGCTAGGGCTTCATATAACTAAGTGATCCCAGAGCTGCTTAAAGTTTAAAAATCATTATCTGAGGAGTGGGAGATGGAACTTCTCTATTTCTTCTGCTTTTGAGGAAGCGAGTACTGCAGCTGTAGCAGAGGGAAATCCTCCCAAAACTCCTTTTTTTTTTTCTTTTTCCTTTCCATTTGTCTAGAACAGTTTCCACATTTTACAGATCAGATCTCAGTAGGCATCACTAAGCCTTTGCAAAAAACTATTCTTAACCACCAATACTTTCACATCAGGCTCCAAACGCTTTTCTGAGAAGTCTTTGTCTCCCATCCAGCAACTACAGAGCAAAAGAAATAATTCCAGTCAAACCCAAAATCCATTCCCCCACAGCCACCAGCTGTCACTGACAAAAAAATACATAGATATGTTTTAACACCACAAACGTTTTAAGTACTAAATACTAAATGTCTACCCCCTCTACCTAGTTTCTGATCTTCTCCTTTAAATCGTTTGCAAACAATGTCATTAAGTGCCCCAAAATTCTGTAAAAAACACTGTATGAAAGAATTTATTTTTTCATCACCACCTTCAGAGTGTTTTTTTCCTCCCCTCTAGGGACCTTACTCATTTTCCCGATTGTTTTTTTATGAAAGAAATGCTACTACTGTGGTGGATACCAGAGAGGTAATGGCACAACAATATTTTCCACAAGACAATGTAAGTGCTTCATCTCATTAACAGATGACTAATTACTGCAAACATAGAGCATTTCATAGCATATGAAGAATGAGTATGTGGAATTCAAGAACAAGGAATGGTAAGAAGTATGAATTCAGAAACACTATTGAACTCATTATTAAGACTATTTAAGATGGTATTAATCTAGAGCGAAATTGCTGTACTACTTTCAGCAGAGAATGCAGTGGTTGATAAGAGAAAAAAGACGCAGTAACAATTTATGGGCTATAGTCATAGGCTGCACTGGTGAAGGTCTGTCAGTCCTGCAGAGCCTAGTGGGGTGATGCACAGATAACGTTACCACCTTTTTCCTGCCCATCATCTTATTGAAAGACATTGATTTCTTGCTGACACACAATGATTGCTCAGGTAGACTTGTACTTCCATGTAAAGTCTAATAACAAATGCAAAATTAATAGGTATACCCAAATAAACTCTAAAGTTCTTCCGTTTCCCTCCTAGGGGTCCTTTCTACACATTGAATTGTGAGAACACTGAAAGCCTGCAGGTCCTTCTCAGCAGGACTGAAAGCCATACTACAGTAGTTCTAACGGTAGGAAGCTAAGGTATGCAACAATTAGACCAAGGACAGAAGGAATTCAAGGAAGTGAATGACCTTAAATACACATATTACTAGTCACGTATGAGCTACAGATACCTATCTTTCACTAGCTATGGAAGACAAGTAGTTTAACTATGATTAGTTTCAGCATCAGAAAAAGCATGAGAGCAGAAAGTACAAAGAGTAAGATATGTGGGGCTAGAATGCAAAACACATTCCAAGGTATTCACAAAACTTCTAGAAATGAAGACCTGAAACCGTAATATTTTAGTTATAGAAAGGATTAAGCCTGTAATATTAGCAAAGTGTAATCTTACGGATGAAGAGCAGAAACCCTTCCCAGGCTACACTTCGTCCACCTCTTTCTTAACAGAAGAGTATTCAATCACAGCAGAATAACTATAAGGCCCAGCAAATTATACTATAGAATGAAAACACGCATTAAGAGCTTGTTTTCCAATAAAGCAGCTAGTTTAAGTGAGTAATAGAGTAACTTCGCATCTTTTGAGAACAGCCAATTTCAAATCATTTACACTGTTACAGATAGAGAATCAAATCATAAAAAACCCACCCCAGAACAGATCCACTACCAGGTGACACGGTCTGGGAACAGGAACCCTCACAAGGGCTAAGTGACAACAGCAGTAGAGGGGTAAAAAGCAAGTTGCTCCTGAGGTAATTTATTATCAGTTATTTTATCACCAAGAATTCCCAGAAGTTGACAACATCCAGTTACAGCCTTTAATACAAACATGCTGTGCAGTCTTGACTGTACAGAGAATACAAATTTATGTACAAGAACAAGGCAAACCTGAAGTTCCATCCCAAACTGATATTCCTGATTACCCACAAAACTGGGCCAGATAGCTGTGGCACATCATGCCAGTATTATTTTAGTGTTTGTGTTCACAAGCATATACTGAAGTCAAGTAATAGATAATACCAGCATATATCCTTACTTCCCCAAAGCAATTTGTCCGAATTTTTAGACAGCCTGCAAGAGTTTGTTTAAACATATGTTAGAGTGTTTAAATAAAAAATTAAATCAAAAGTTAAGAATCTCAGTCCTGGTGTTATTGTCCCCTCAATTACCACGAAGTAGGTCAAATTCTTGGGAAAAAAAAAACCACAAAACTGCTTTAACATTCCCAGCCACGGACAGAATAGTGATTCTGGTTTTCTTAGCTTTCCTTTTAAAAAAAAAAAGTTTCACTTTCTCAGCTTCTACATTTTTTTCTGATGGAGGCACTGACCCAGAATTAGGTTTGTTCTTACCTTTTTTGCACATTCTCCACAAGCAATCCAGACAGCTGAGACCCAGTGATTACAAAAATGAAAGCCACTGGCCTAGACAAAGTGTACAGTCTTAACCCACCATTCCAAGTCTTACAAGCAAACTCCAATTAAAAAAGCAGAAACATACCATCACACGTGAAAGTTACTGGTTGCTGGAACTCTTCAATTTCTATAGAAACCTTGATACTGGGGCTCTCCCCACTTATATTTCTTTGCAGCATAACTGGACTCAGCGCAAAGCCTGGATTTGTTTGCTGACTGGTATAAGGAAACTTGGTCCTCAATCTGAAAAGTAGAGAAGGTTTATGAAACATTGCAATGGATAAGTCTAAGATTAAAGCAAAACACCACGTTAATAACCACAAGCCAGCACAGTAAAGACTACCTTTTCCTCTTTGCGTAAATTGTATGTACAAACCACAATTTATTTTTTCTAGTCTCAACAGAACACTGCCCACAATAATTGTGTATATACAAGTTACAGGGGAAAAACCTTAGCTTTAATTAGGCAGGTTCTCCACACAGCTTAAAATATTTTAATTGGTCAATGCTTACAGGACATACCCAGCTTCTGTAGAAGCTAAGGTCTAAAACAGTTTTAAAAAACCTAATCCACAGTACTTGCTAAAAATCACTTTAAAAAAGGACAATTTCTTTTATGTACAAAACACTATAAAACTGTTTACATGTTTTAATTTTTGGAAGTCTAATCTGAACTTAGATACTATGCAGTAGGTAGTTATTTCAAGCTGTGGAAGTTGAGCAATAGGCCTAAATTAAGGGAAAGGCTTTTCTTTAGGACACAAACAGTATAAAATGGTCACCTAATAACAAATAGACTATACTTTGACGGCCGATTTTTATTTTCTGCTATTTAACATAGATAAAACAATTTAACCTTAACCTTCTGCCAACATTAAAGTAGTATTATACAATATTAAGAACAGAACTCATCTATAACTATCATCTATTTCATCATCTTGATTCCTGACAATAGCATGAATGGAAAGAAAACAGAAAGGAATCCCTCTAGCAAGAGCTGTCCAGTCAAAAATCCATGAGCATTTTAAACATTGGGTCTCGAAAGAAAGGGCATTAATTAGATTTAACCAGAAACTGTTGCAACAAATCTATTGTGTGTGAGCTTTGTCTTAATGTTGTTCATCAGTAAGTTTTACAGGTATATGACTTCAAGGGTTTTATGGAGTTTGCTTTGCATTTCATTAAGATTCCTGTTTTAAAAAGCAGCTGTTACCCTTCAGATTCAAAGATCTCTATTTCCCTCATTAGTTCATGGATTTTGATCTTGACAGGTAAAAAGGCAAGACTCCTAGCTTGTCTTCTGTAGGAAGCAAGCAAAAACAATCTCCTTGAATTGTGGCAGTAAGCAAAAGCATAGAAGAGCATTCTGGGTTATCAAGTCCCATCTTCTTTGCTCTGACCTTTAAGAAATTTCACCACCTGATCAAAGCAGGAACAAGTTTGAAGGTTTTATTTGTTACAGAATTCCAGTTCTAGAAGCAATAGAAGTGACAACATTTAAGGATTAGAAAGCCACTGAGTGACAAGATTTAGTGAGGTGCATCAACTAAGAAAAAAAGGCTTCAAACTCTTTCAAAAGAAATTGTATTAAAAAATACACAGGAGATACAGATATATGGAAATACAGAAAAATAGTGAGGATAAAAAAATGTTACAAGAACAAGCAGAAAAGCGAGAGGAAAACTCACAGGACAAAAAGACTAAAGAGGAGATATGGTAATTCAAAAGCCTTAGTACTGAATACCTTAACAATTCTGTTGCATTCTTGAAAAAAGATGACAAAAATCAGGAAAAACAGGGATAAGAAAAGGGAAAGGACACATATGAAATTCATCCCATCAAGCAAAAAAATGTAGGACTGGCCCTGCCAACCTAACCGAAAATGAGTTAACTTTTTTTTTCCTTCTGAAAGCTAATTTGTGATCAGTAATTTCTTACTTCGTAACTGCTTGAGAAAAAGCTGACAGCTCTTGATTCTGCCCTTCAACTTCTTGGAGAAGCATGTTTTCTGTCAGCATGCCAGTGGTCCCATTGTCTTTCTGCAACTCAAAGATAACACAGTATTTAAATAGCTGCAAACATATTCCTACAGCCAGCAAAGCCATGTGTAGATGATAGATTTTCAGGAGTCTGAGGTTAACTGTTAGTTTTATGTCTACTTCTATAAGGAGAAAAATGTTCATCATTACAAGTTGAAAAGTAAAGATTTACTCGACCAGTGACTCCTTTACATAAGGTAATTTATTTGACAGCTTCACTATCAGTTAAGTTGCAAGCATAACAGTTCCTGAGCTCTCAGCAGTGACCTGTTGCATTAGAATTTGGCTTTGCTGAACCAGAGGAAGACAGACAAATGCTTTTTACTCCATTTCCGCGATTCAGCCTTCAGTATAGTCCCAGAAAGAGCCATTACACATCCGTTCTGCTCATGACCACCTTTTCCTACAAAGCAGGAAAAGATAAATTGTACACTGGAAGGAAGCAGTATTAAACTCCGAACTAATCTCGTGGTATCAAGTTATGGCTGTTTTAATCCCTTATGCCATATGCACCCACCAGCTCCCAAAAATGTAAACCACAATCTTTGAAGTACCCAATCTAAAAAACAATTGCTAAAATAGAACTGCAGTTTCAAACAACAAAATCTAATAAACTCAGAAAAAAAAAATCCCAAAACTGCTGCAGTTTTTCATCCATATCTGTTTCTAATCCAATTCACAATACAGCCATACAAATGCTAGCTAGTGTAAGCAAACAGCAGCTGGAACAATGAGTGGGGTTGAGGTGGAACTCCATCACCTGTAGTCTAAAAGCCACCACTAGCCTGAAGCACGCATGAAACTCCAGCCAGATACTCCCTGGAATAACTTGATATTGAAGAGTTTGCTCATGTCCAACCTAGGGACATTGCACACAGAGGATAAAGCCTTCCCATTAGTGACACTTTACATCCATTTACAATGCTTATAGAAACCTTTAATCCACTCAGGAGTCCAGAAGAAAAAGTAGACTGCATTATAGCTTTTCTGAACATCATCACAATTTATTCATACTTGAAATAGCAAATAACCATTTTAATAAGTGTGTTATTTATTACGAGCTGACAAAGTTAGCTGAGCGTCTAATTTCATTAAAACATATCAGACAAAATAGTCAAATTAGACTGTCTCAGAAAAGGGGTCAAATCTGTAACATGCAGAGCTAGGGACTATTAAGCTGTTTTCAAATTAACTTGTTTAAGCAGTATAGCATAAACTTCGAAAGGATAATATACGCAACCCATAATTGCCACTTGAATTGCATTTAAACTTAGTTATTTCAGCTAAAATACTGGTTTTATGAACACCAACCAGTTCAAATGGATAAATTCTATATAACTGGGGATTAGCCATACCATGGGAAGCAATTAGAGCAAGAAGCTGTAAAGCCATGAAACCTGGAATAAGATTCAGGTGCACGTATAATACCTTAAATTTAGAAAAAATTCTTTCACTCTAACATCTTAGACGAGTTCCATCACACGAAAATACTTCCAGGCAACTGCACAAGACCTGCTGACAAACCTGTGCAATTGTATCTAGTACACATATTCTTTAAGCAATTACACAATAACAAAACAAAAAATCATACCAGGAAACAGGAAGTTCACATACCAAGTGAAAGGTAAACACCTTTGATAAAGATTCAGCTAATTGCTGGTCAGCACTCAGCACAACACTCCATCATTTCAAACAAGAAGCTGGCTATAAAAATGTTAAATTTTATCTATTTAAGAACTCTTTTTAAGGAAGTTAGGTAATAATACAAATAAGTACTCAAAGCACTTTGCAAGTCTAACCAGAGCATAAAAGCAATACACAAGGAGATTACTGAAAGTCACACAGTGATGTAACATTGCCACTTCATGGCACAATGTGACACTTTTGAATCATTTACAGCAAAACATGCAGGTTATTCTGCTGTTAAATTCAAAGAAATTTAGGGAACTTCAGGACATTTCTATACATGCAAACTTAGCCAGGGTAAATAAAAAATTCTAACGTAATGAGCAAAGAAAAAAAAGAGTTTATTTGGTTATACATAGTTGACCTCAGGGTCACATCTGGCTAAGCACAGAAACCTAATGTTAATTCAAATATGTATCGCTAGAAATTACCTCCTGGTGGAAGATTAAGAACATTAAGTACCTCCTTGCCTTTTTCAGTTGAATTTCAATACTAATTTTTGATCATCTTTTGGAAGATCATTTCAGTAGATAAGCTCTGATAAACTACGAAATCTATTTAAAATCCACTGGACTCAGATGATTAGGGTTTTGAGCAACAAGTAGGATTTTAATTTCTTTAACTTCCAGATAAGCAAGTCTAGGAGGTGCAAAAGCTATCAGTCAGATAGGAAACAACTTCAGGCCAAACTAGATAAATAGTTCATACCAGCACAGCCTGCAAATACAATTACTCTTAACAATAAAAAAAAACCAAAACCCCTAATCCAGTAAATTACCAAAAGTCAGTTTAAATCCCATGAGTACATAAAGCCACAAGACTTTTCAGCTCTGAGAGAGGAAAGGAAGAGAACACCTAAAATAGGACAAAATGATGATTTTGCCTCTGCTTTCATTAAGAAGTGACAAACATTTAAGTATCTAGAAGGAGAATACCAAATATGTGGATACTTCATCAAATATGAAGTAAAACTCAAAGCAATCTATTGATTTGAGGAATTAATATGATAGAATCACAATGTATGACTAGAAATTTTTACTAATAATTTTGTTTAACAGCGTAGTGACACTATGAGTTATTCAGGGGAAAAAAAATTATCTAGACCAGTTAGGACGCAAGACTTCAGAATATACTTTGAAGGAAATATACACCTGGAGGTAATCTGGATAAAATACAAGAGAATTGCCAAAAATAGAGGCTAAATAACTCAGCTTCCTACTATACCAGACAGAAAAATTATTTAAACTAGAAAATAAAGTAGTAGCACAGGATGGATAAAGGAAAAGCCACAGGTTATGTTGAAAGGATATCTGAGACACTCGTCTTGAGATTTATTTATTATCTTCTTTAATAACTCAGCACAAGCAGCAGAAACACCCCTGCTAAGAATTTACAGTCTTGTATCATCAGCTAACTTTAAAATACAGACTAGAATAGGAGTGTTATGTCAAAACTAGTTAATCACAGACTGGAGAAACACAAGTGGAAAATAAATCTTGAACTTTAAATTGGGCATTCACTGCAGGAGTCTGATAAAAACTAAGAACTTGTTTGAAACGATGGTGGCTTCAGAAAATCAGATATATTAATTGACTATAGGATCAATATGTGCTGTTGTGATGTCATCATGAATAAAACAAATGCAACGGAAGTGTATCAAGCAGGATGCCCCTCCCTGTAATGAGGGCTTATTCATGCCACTGTACAAGGCACACGGTACACTGTGCTCTCACACAGAGAACTAAAATTCTCGTAAGCCATCTTCCGAGAAAAAAGAAAGTGACAGGAAAGAGAAGCTATCATAGAGCTCACAATGAAAGCTAACAGAAAGTTACTGTCTCTTATAACTTGTTGAGGTAAACATTAGGTTCTTTATCTTAAAAACCTGCTGTTCCACCCTGTTAAAAAAACCCAACATTTGCTAAGAGCTAGTTATGAACACATTTCTGCTGAAAATCAGATGACTGATAAGGACAATGAAGGTCTGGATCAGCCTTTAAATCAAAAAGCAGCAGGAGGAAAAGACCACATGTGAGGGCAGAGCTTGAGCATTTTATGAACCAGTTAACATGTGATCTGCAAATAGCATGGGAACCTGATGGAACACAAAAGACCTTTTTAAATCCTGCATTCTTTAAAAACCCTGGAATTTATAAAAACAGATTTCATTCAGCAACAGTCAAATATTACTTTCTACACACACCATCTCAGAAGCACTGATCCAATATAGTATAGCTATTGCAGTAAAAAGTTAAATTACCACCACCAAACATCACTGGAAAACTGACAAACACATCACATGACAAACTGAAGAAGCAAACTGCCAAGGAGCCCAAATTCACACATCTCTCCAAAGACTAGGAAATAACTGAGCTCACATGTCACAGCTCAGCAGTGAGTGGAAAAAAATAAAATTAAGTTAGACCCAAGATCTTCACACATGTAAGGTTAAAAATGCGATCCCTTAAAAAACAGAGGTAAGGGGGTTTTTTGGGTTTCAGGTTTTTTTGCTCCTTCTCCATTGGCGTTCTATTAAACTTTTGCCAGAATACTGACAACTAGCCCAGAAAAAACAGGAAATCCTTCAAATGAGTAGCCAAAAATTTCACTTGAGTGGAAATTTACACAATCCTTTAAGTCAAAGTCTAGTAAATCTTTCTTCTTCTGAGAAAAAAAACTCCCTCAGTCTGAGGGAGGGGAAAACTAAGGAGCAATTTGGAAAACATCCTTGACTGATAGGAGTTGTATTTTATGGCATGTCCCTAGTCTATTAAAAACACCTAGAAAGACAATACATAAGATTCAAAACAGCTGCAATCCAAAGTCTCCAAGGCAAATAAATATTTTACTCCCCCCCTCCCCAGCCAGTTTCTACAAATATGACTTATCCTGCCATTATCACTCTTGCCACGGTGTTGACTTTTCCACTGAAGGCTTCTCCTTCAGTCTTTGTACTCTCTCTACCAGAAAATAAAAATACAAAAGTGTTCACGTTTACCTTCTGCTGAGGTGACTATTATTTTAATATGTGATGTCTTGTTTTATGATGGAATTATCATAGGAAGAATTTTAAGAGATAGGAAAAATTAAATAATTTACAGTCATTTACTGGACTTGGAAAAGGGTAGGATGCACTTACAAGGGCATAGTTAACCACATGGGACAGCTACACTATTGATCATCTGCTGTACAGTTTAGTTTTGATATAAACTGCATGTGCTCAATGTCCAAAAAGATGAGTGTCATAACTAAAGCCCCTGTTGGCATTTTTATCTTGAAATTTTGATGAAAGTGATCCTGATCCTAGAGCAGAAGTCACCCTTTTGCCGTGCCTGATAAAAGTAACGTCACACAAAGATGATTTTCCTTCTTCCAGCACAGAAGTACGGTGTTTCTGACCTAACAGGCATCCCACCTTCCAAGACAGTATAGCCAAAAGGTTCGGCTACGATCACTAACATTCCTGCACAGAAGGAAAGATGTCTAACTACGAAAGCGGTCATATAAAAGACTGCAAGTGATACTGAGAGAGCAGAATAGTTTTGACTATGCCACCTTTCTAGTCTACTTTTTAAAAGAAAAAAAAAAAAAAGCTGACTGGTTCAGATATAAGGCAAACAAACGATTTTTCCAAAATCCAAGATAAAGGCTGCTCAAGATAAAGCTTTGAATGTCTAACTTGTCATCTTTTTATTTTGTAGTATCATGTCAATTGTTCATTGATCAATATGATTTAAATATTTAATTGTTCCAAATTGTTCCACTTCTTTTCTTAGTGTGTTGAAAAACAACAATTTCCTCAGTAAATGTGGAAACATTACACAAGGTCAGAGTTGTTTTGAGATTTAGTTCAGTAGTAATGTTCAATTTTCTAAATAACACTAATACATACATACACCAGTAGCATCCCATTATTTGGACACCACCCAAGCAAAGTAATATTTAACAAACAAATCCAGACCTTAAAGTGTCTTTAAATACTGTGATTAATCTTTACCATTATATTGCAATTTTAAAATACTGATTTACCTACCTGTGATGTTTGGCCCTGTAACTTTGCAAGCTGAGTTGTTCGCATGTTTAAGGACTGGCTCCTTGTAACTGTTGCTCCAGATTTCCCATTAACTTTTCTTTCCAGATGACAAGTTACTAACAACTTTTCTTCTAACAGCACAGCATCCCATGGATCTTCAGCAGTCATACTTGAAGCCCTCTCTCCATCATTCTCTGCCTTATTCAAAGTCTCCACACTATCCACTTTTGGTTTACTTAGGGGATCCAAATCCAACCAATCAAATTTACTAACATCCCTGCAGCTTTCTGAGGCTGGTAGGCTAGAAACTGCAGACTTTATAGCAGTCATTTCTAAGTCTGTGCTTGACTTTCCATTTTTCAGAAATTCTGAGGTGCTTGCAATTTTGTCAAACACTTTTGCCATTTCTGGTGTAAGTACTGGCGGATATATAGGTAGGCTTCCTTGTGGATGGAAAGGCGTAGTAGCTGCCAATGGGTATGAAATGTATTGCGACTGTCTTGGAAGACCAAGATAAATAGGTTCTCTAGAGTGATAGGAGGACATAGTTGGGTGGAATCCATTCTGAAATACACCAGTCTGTTTTGTGTAAGAAGCTGAGGGGTAAATAGGAGGTAAAGTGCATGTAACAGGTGCTGGTATCCCAGGCGTCCACGGTCTTCTCTGACCCATAGGCCCAAGATAAAATTGCGAAGACACAGATGGGCTCAAAATAGGACTTACTGGTAACGTAGGTACTTTACTAGATTCAAAACTGTCATCCAGAAGGAGTTTCTCTAGTTCAGCATGAGTAAGCTTCTCTATGTCAATGGTACTGAGTTTATCTTCCATGCTCTTCGCATCAGACTCTGGAAACACCATAAGATCATGGTCCTGTTTGTTATGAGTCTGTACATTTTGTCTGGTGCTGCTTAAAGAATGAAAAGTTTGTTTATTACCAGCTACACCTCTTTCTTTCTGCATCTTAGCTAATGCCTCAGCTTCCATCTGCAATGCCTCCTCTTTGTCCACATCTTTTGACCTCGTGGCTGCCAAAGAAGGTGATGAGCGCTGTTTAAATACATTGCTATTGGATATCTGGGCCATACCGCAAGAGCGGACGTCCACTTAAAGACGCAACACTTCTCTTGTACTGGTTGTCCACCTCTGGCTTCAGAACAGATTTAGCAGATCTGAAAAGGAAATTAAATATTAGAAACACATGAAAGAAATCATATGTGGAGAACTACTAAGTCATACAGCACTAACTGACAAGGTTGCACACGTCCTTCAGAAACCCAGGACATAAAATCTTTAAGAGACCAATTTTTTGGGGGGTCGGGTCAAACTGAAAGAGTGAAGCCACACAATCGAATTCACAGCCTTTGAATTACACGAGACCCACTTATTTTTCTCACTAGTACTTAGAATCACAGAAAGTTTTGGGTCGGAAGGGACCCATAGAGGTCATCTAGTCCAACCCCCCCGCAGCGAGCAGGGACACCGCTAACTAGATCAGGTTGCTCAGAGCCCTGTCCAACCTGGTCTTGAATGTTTCGAGGGATGGGGTCTCCACTACCTCTCTGGGCAACCCGTTCCAGTGTTTCACCACCCTCACTGTAAAGAATTTCTTCCTTATATCCAGCCTAAACCTACCCTGTTTTAGTTTAAAACCATTACACCTCGTCCTGTCACTGCTGTCTCTACTTACCAGTAGGTAGAGTAGTACTTGCTTTCTTTTTACACCACTAAACCTAAGACACAGAAAAGCTGCATTCAGGTACCTAATTGTTTTCAGGTTTGAGCAATTCTGCATACTTAGCCAGGTTCATTCTAAAGACTTGTTTTGGTTTCAGCTGCCGCCGGCAACATAAGGGCAGTTTAACAGAACAGCAAACAGAGGGAACAGGAACAACAACGATACAGATAAGGAGAAAATACGACACAAACTCACGCAACAGACCCGCTCTCTCGGACAGGACCGGCGCTGCGCGCTCCCAAGCCGCGAGTGAGTCCCCGCCGCACCGCCCCCCCACCGAACCCAGCATGACGGCACATGGTATGGAATACCGGGCTCTGTTTGGCCAGGTGGGGTCAGCCCACCCGGCTGTGCCCCTTCCTGGAGTCCGGTGAAAATTAACCCTGTCCTGGCCAAACCCAGGACAAGACTACACAAATATCTAGCATTGATAAAGCACATTATCAATAGGACTTCCAGTGTATTTCAATATATTGCAGAAACGATAGACCTATCAAACTGCTGTACCATGCTTATGCTGGTGATAATGATGCTGAAGGACCTCCCTTCAGAAAATATCACTGTACTTTACCCTCTTAACAAGAGAAATAGTGCTTATGAAATGCTATATCTTGGACAAGCAAAACAAGCAGCTGACTAATCCTTTTAATAGCCCCTTAAAGGAAGCGCCATTCACTACCAGGTAAGGAAAGAAACTATGAAAGGTCACTTTTGCTTGAGGCCACCACCAAGAAAACAACATCTTACACTTCTTCAATTCCAATCTTGTGCTCAGCACTATTACACAACTTTCTGTATCCACCACAATATCTGTGCCTCTTTACTAATCTTCCAAGAGATTACCACAAGGACTATGTTATTTTTCAGAATTATTTCTACACCTTTTACACACAGACAGGTTAGAGTTGAGTCCAGGAGACAAGATTTGTCTTCCAGCAACAGCTAGTCTGCATATCAAGCAGCAAGATAAAATCATGAATAATGAGTTTCTGCTAGGAGGGTTACATAAACAGCAATCCTCATTAAAACAGTTCCACTGGACTAGAGGAGCCCTTTAGATGTAAATCATCCTGGGTTTAAGCCATGCAGCAATCTACAAATTAAAAGAGTTCTCTGCAGCAAATAATGTCGATAACGCGAAAGACTGTCTTTATGTTCCTTTGCTATTCATACCCATCAGAATGCCTGTGGGTTTGGGGTTTTTTTTCCCCCTTGTATCAGACCAGAGATATGTGCTTTAAACAAACTGATCGTACTGTGGACGTGCTACATAGACAGCAAGATTCTTAATGGATTTCTAACAGATTCTTTAAATTCTTTAAGACTGTGGCAAAGCTTTTATCTACTTCATTTCAGTGGCTTATATTGTGAAGGATACACATCTTTATAAGAGGTTCTACACATTTCAGTTAAGTCTGAACACATAAATTCCAGTGACACCCTTCACAAAGCAAGATTAAGCCAGAACTGATGTTACAGGTACCGAGACAAGATTTAAATGAAAGAGGATGTCTTCAGAAAGACTGGAACAGTGACAGAATAACAAAGCTCTCAAACCCTGAAAATCACACAACTAAAGTCCTGGGGAACAAAACCCTAAGGAGGAGCTTTGGAAGTTACTAGAATGTATCCATTCCACGAGATAATTATATTCAACAAAGATGACCTACAGCAAAAAGCAGACACCAGATCCTGTTCCATACAATATATTACGCTGCAGAGTTTGACATTCATTAAAGCCACAACTACTGCCATTAGGAAGTAGTCCTGTCCTATCTACTGCCCATTTGCACAGTCAAGTGTTGAACCTGATGGGGGCACTGATTAAAAAAAAGCAAAACCACCACCACCCCACCCCCATAAAAAAAAACCCCAAACTTTTTGCTGGGTTCCTTTATAGAAAGTGCAGGTAACCTGGTCCCATTTAAGCACAGCTGTGGCCTTCAGTGCCATTCGCTTATTTACTGCCCTCCTGTTAGCAGGACAGTCATTCTAAACCTTCTCCTAAAGATGCACTGAATATTTTGTAGATGGTCTAAGCCTACTAGCCACAGATAACATCCTAACAAGAAGCCTAATATACTTTACACCAGCTGCTCAGATTGCCTAGATACCCAAGCAGGCTTCAATGTCTCTATTAAGTTGCAGTTGGTTAAAAGTCGCTATGTCAAATATTCAGGTGCAGGAACACCCTGAGTTATGAAGTCCTCTCAATAATGCCTACCTGGCTTTTCCTAGAAGCAGCAGCAGCCTGAGGTAAGTGCAGTTTTCACAATCTTGCTGTCTCCTAAAGATGCTAAATAGCAGCAGGATGTTTTTCCTGAATTATATTCAAAAAGCTAAGATAGGATCATACTACTTTGTAAGACTATTCAGAACTGTTTGGGCTACAACTTTGAAGCTTATCTATGAATTCTGGTGCTGCTTGGTAATTACAGCAGCAAGTGAATGTTCTTAAGGAAAAAGTATCCATATTACGGGGTCGTCAAAGTAACTATACTAACAACTCCAGCTCCTTAAAAATGTAGGAAGCCTTATTTTTCTGTAGAAATTGAAAGCTTTGATCTTCATACTCAACAAGCGCTCTCCTACTTACAAGAAGTCACAACTGCAGATAAACATACATTCTCAGAAACATGGTGCAGTTACTGCAGCACATTCATTCGTAACATCAAGAGAACCCAAATCACTCAATAATAATTTGCTTTACGATTTCACATTTCAGTGCATGATTGTACACTTGCACTGACAAATCCACTGACTTCTAGTATTCAGAAGAGTATTATTATAAGTGCTTATCTTAAAACTTGAATTCCACTTTTCCTTTTGCAAGACAGTCTCGTCGGCACACATACACTTAATTTGATCCCTGCATTTAAGTCCTGTCCTTGGGAAGCTTCTAAAGTCCAATCAGTGTACACATTTCTGTCAAATTTACAAGCAGACTGCAGTTTTCAAATAGTTTGAAGTTTAAAACTGATTAAAAAGTCTGATAAAATTGCAATAGTTTTAGCAAAACTTTATTACTGCATGCCTGTTATAAGCAGTAAATTCACATGATGAAACATCCCTAGGCATAAGCATTATTGAAATAAAGACAGGCCTTCTTTTAAATGCTAACTACATCACATCAGTTAACGTTTTCACATAAGAAGTTTAACTTCACTTTGAACTTCTGACTTTGTAGCCATCCGAGTTCAAAGGCAGGGCCTAAACCTCTCTAACATTTACCAAGAGAAGGGCA